AGGCACCAGCTCACTGCACCCCCTGTAGATGTGTTTAACTGGTGTATTAAGACTTAGCTGAATGAAATACAAATGGAAATGCCTGTTTGTGAGAGCATCAGAAGCCACACTAGAGCAAGGGTGGAAAGAATGAGCATTGCTAGACACTGACCTTACTCAAATCAAGGAATGGTGAGGAGTGTGCTGGTTATATCAAGATCACAAGATAAGACCAAAAGTTCAGTTCCCTTAGCACAGGCTACTTGCCACCCACCCCCAAAACTGTGCTCTGATAACATGGGCTCAGATGACATCTTCTCAACAGGAAGGCAGACAGGAGACATAAAGATGTGAAAATGAGGATATAAAGTGATGGGCAGAAACTTTTCCAAAGGTTCTGCAGAGCAAGGCAAGGAAGGGTCTGAGGCAAGCTCAGACCACAGCTGCTTGACTCAGGAGGATATAAAAGACCTGTTCAAAGGAATTGTTTGCAGTTGCCAGTGAAGATGGACCCAAGGTACTCAGTGAAGACTCAACAGCTGGTACCCTCACTTCTATCCTACACACAAATGCCCTGGTTAGACTCAAAGATCTTGGCATTTGGCAATGTGTGGCAATGTAATCCCTCTCCTATCCCCTCTCTATTGCATGGGAGAAGCTTTACTTTCACTGCCAACAATCAGGGTCCTATTACGGACAGTGAATCCAATATTTCAACACCATGTATTTCCCGGGCATCTGAGGCAGATTTTTTTCCCAGCGAAAGGAATGTGAGTGCATTAAATTTAATTGGTTTTGGCAAGTAGTGTTTTTCTTCCCATTTCTTTTTAAATTCATGGCACTATCAAAGTTAGTGCAGGTCAGTAGATCAAAGTCCTTCATTGCTTCTCCCTGTAAACACAAAAACCACAAAGGGCTACATGGTTTTCCTACAGACAAGAAAGACCAGGGAATTTTTTGAAGCCCTTTAGCAATACATTGCCAACATGTCCCTGGTTTTACAGTCATAGGTCTTTAATGATGAAGAAAATGCTCTGTATTTGAAAATTATTAATTACCAAGAGTTTATTTCTCTGGGATCAGTGTCCTCATTTCCAAGAAAAGCTCCATGTCAGCTTGACAACAAGAGATGCCTCCACTGAGAGTTCATAGGAAAGAACTGTTGCTTTGTAAGTGCACAAAAATACATGCACTATCCTCAGTACTCGAGGTTATTCTTGGCATGAGCAGGGGTTACTCCTGCATTTATCACAGCCAATCTGAGTTTTGTTATTGGCCTTCCTGAACACATTTAGTTAGACCCAAATTTACTTTGCCGGTTGTATTATATAATTTTGTTTTAAAGAAAACAGGAACTGATAGCCCATAAAAACAACCATTGGCAGACCTGTGCCAACACTACTATATATTTGCAATTTCTGGCTTTTGTAAACACTGGTAGAAGTAGTACCTTTCAAACTCCTGGTTAAACTGTATGGTTTGTAAAATGTGCACACAGCTTCTCAGCAAAGGAAGTTCTCTAATATTCTTTATTGGCTGGAGGAAAGTGGGTGCCAAATACAACTGTGAAATGAGAAACAATGCACAAAGGAAAAGTTCCAGAACATCAACACATCCGTTCCTTTCCTCTGCCATAAATAACCAACACACCCTGAAATACAAGACTAAATGGCTCCAGGAAACTCTCATTAATGAAAATGTCCTAGCTGGACTTCTCACTTTCATTTGGAATTACATGCCTCAAGAAATTTTTTCTGACCTAGACAGCAGATCTGTTGTTCTCTAAGTAATACTAAGCCCTGAGATAGACTAAAATAAACTGAAGCCAACCTACTTTCCATAGAGACTTAAACCTCTCCCCCTCAATGTCCAAAATATAAGTGTTGAAAGGCACAGCCCTGCTGCTGTTGACATCAATGACAAGATCCTACACTGACTATATTAAGACATGGTTGTGTGTTCCAGTATCTGTCCTTCAGTTTTCTGGAAAACACAGATAAGGCAGGAAACAAAATAAATGGTCTTCTTGTATGTTCTCTATGCAGATAAATTTCCTCATAAAATATAGCAGCTATGATATTTTATGGAGAAGATGTCATGATGAGACTGTATGCATGCATAGCATATTTACTGAAGATCAGAAGTGGCAGGGTAATTAGGCCACTCATTTATCTAGGAGATGTTTATATTAAAATTATCATATTTCGCTGTATAAAAAAGAGATAACTGATACCAACCATCTGTAGTCTTATCCTCTTGAAACTTGTGCTAAACAGACTTGTCATAAATTGTACCATACCTAGAAATTTCTGTCTCTTAACTTCCAACTGAGTCACTGAAAACTGACTCATTATTACAATATCAAAACATTAATAGAAATTGAGGAATATCCCTAGCTCTTTTTTGTCCTGGAACTCTCTTCTAATTTCACAATCATACTTTTCTGCTTAAAAAAACCTTCAAACATACACAGCCCCTCTATGAAATGTCTGTGAATTACAGGGAAGCTATCTGGCTAATAAAACAGAGGAAATAGTAAAAATTACTATTGTTTGGTTTTGTGATCTAGAAAATTTGCAGATCTTCTGCCACTACTGATTGTATCATGCTACAGCGCTTTTGGACAAGTGAAATGCCTGTGAGCCTTTACTAAAGTTGAAATAGCATGAGTTGCAGAAAAGGAAGGTAGTACAATTTCATTTAACATTTTCAATACCTTTTAAAGACAGTTCTTCTGTAATTTTCTCGGATGGAAGTGTGTATCATTCGTGGCACAAAGTACATGCTACATCCTCATGAAACTTAGATGCAGACTCTAGGGAGGGCACCAGGCTGAAGTTAATGAGATCTGGAAACAAAGACAGAGGCAGTCCTCCCTTGAACAGGTGTGTACAATGAAATATCCATCTTCTCCTCAAAGCTAGTGGTGCTATGGGTATTCCCAGTTTCACTGGGATTTGGTTGCTTTTGCATGAAAGAAAGTAGAAGGGCTTCCGGGCTAGAATGGCAACTAAATGGGAAAATATTCTTAGGCAGCTGACATATCAAACCTCTTTGTGCCTGCACTGAAGACTTCACCACAGAATTAGCCATCCAGCAGCCTTTCTAGTGAGGAGAGATTTGGTACTGTGAAAGGATGACTGATGTGCTGGAAAGGCAACTGCTTGAACCTACGAAATAGAAGATCCCTAATAGGGCTCTTGTCTTAAAAGCCTGTTCATCCTTGGAGTTGTGAGTGTTTCAATGTGCATCAATGTTCTGCTTGGGATTCAGCCAATGGCTGAATAAACCAATTATTTTAAACCAATAAGGTTTAAAATAGTCCAGGAATTGTAGGTGTATAAGGAGACTCAATCCTTCCTCTTGAGAGGCCAACACACAGACAAGTGTCTCAGGGTTCAAGCCCTGAAGTCAAGGTGTTCTTGAGCTAGAACAGATCTGAAGTCATGTATCATGATGCATGACTGAACCACAAGGTTCAGGTCCATCTTGCTGGTCTACTGCATGTCCAGTTCTGTTTGCACAACTAAAAATGCTGGAAAGGAGATAGAACAGTGCCACACTTCCTCTCTACAGAAAAGCCTATCATCACTTAGACTGCGCAGGCAATGTGCAGGATGGCAGGAGAGTCTGGATTTGGGGACTTGAAAACTACTCAGCCATCATGGGACAAAAGTCTGGCCCAGGAATTCCATGCAAGTACTTGCAGTTTTCTGTCATCAGGGTTGTGAGAGATACAAAAAATCTGCAGCAACCTGGAAAACTGCACTAGGAAAATGTAGGCAGAAAACCCCAAGGAAAATCCAGCACTCACTTTTTCTCCCCACTCTCCTGTGGTTGACTCGGGCACAACAGAGGAGCCACAGGCTTGCCAACTCTTCTGATTTTATGGGTCTCGTGGCGTTTTGTTTTTTTTTTTTTTTTTTTTTTAAATTGCCCGACTCTTGAGACTGTGGGATTGTGAGGATTTCAAGTTTAATTTACAAGAGAGGCTGACATGCAACAGTTGCGGCTTCAAAGAAATGCTGGAGGTCAAGTCTCAGACCTCAAAAACTAGTGGCAAATACAAAGATAAAACGAATAAAGAATCGCCTGCATCTGTGGAGCCAGGCCCACCGCGTCCAGCCCTGGAGGTCTGGCAGCGATGGAAGTATTCAAGGCACTTTTCTATGAAGGGTATTTGACCGCATCCCTGAGGAAACCCGAAAGGCTCAGATGAGATCCGTGCCTTCATCCTCCGGCAGCACACTCGCCCCAGCCCGCGGGGGCCCAGCCTCACCGCCGGCGCTGCAGTGTCCCCGCCAGCTCGGCCCTCACGGCACCAGGGCCAAGGGCGCCGTCAGCCCGCAGCGCCGCGGCCGCTGCAGCGGGGCCGGACCGGGCCGCGCCGGGCAGCGGGAGGCGGCGGTGCCCGGGGCAAGGCCGGGGGCGGCGGCGGGCGGTGCGCGGCGCAGGCTCCTCCTGCGGCCAGCCCGCCAGCCCCGCTCCTCCATCCCTCCCTCCCTCCCTCTCCTTCCCTCCCTCCCTCCCTCCGCGGCTCCATCCCTCCTTCCTGTCGGCGCTGCGCACTGCTGCCGCCGGAGCTGGGCCGCGCCGCGCACCGCCCGCGCACCCGCGGCATGCGGCCCCCTCAGGGCACGGCCGGGCGGCGCCGGGTGAGTGTGGGGCCGCGCCGGGTGCCCGCTCCCGGCCGCTCGCACCTGGGAGGGGGCGGCCCGAGGGGCGCGATGATGGATGTTCCCTCCATCCCTCCCTCGCTCTGCCCGCCCCGGGGAGGTGCCGGCCGGGAGGGGCGGAGGGGGGGTTGGCAGCCCCGCCGGGACCCAGCGCGGCGGCGGCGGGGATTTTCGGAGAGCCCCCGCTGCCTGCCTGGTGTCGTGCGGCTCGGGGCTCGGCCGGGGCTGGGCGCAGGTGGCGGCGCCGGGGGCGCGGCGGGCTCGGAGCCGGTGCGGGCGGAGAGCGAGGCAGCTCCCTCGGGGCGCGGGGGGAGACCGGCGGCTCCTCTCTGCCGCTGCCGGAGCCCGCGACTTAAATAGAGGCTGTGTTTTGTCAACAGCTCATTCTGCTGGCCGGCAGGTTGGCTGGCTCGAGGACTGAGCAGTGGGTAAATACTATTTATGCCTTTTTTAAATTTTATTTTATTTTATTTTATTTTATTTTACTTTATTTCATTTCACTTTATTTTATTTTATAATAAGTAGCACCCTTTTGAAAAATGGACCTTAGGATGGGACTTCAAAACCTCTTCTGGATTTGGGGAGCATCCAGACATGCTGGGCGCCTCTCTGTGCACTGGCTGTACAGGGGCTCTGGCACAGCGGCAGCTGTGTCTGTTTTGAGTGATTGAATTTCTGATGTGTCTAGGTACCATGTTTGAAAACGATCTGTGAAAGCCTTTGAGGCAGTTCTGTAAAGAACGTAATTCCCTTGTAAGATGCAGCATGTAAGTTTGAACTGACTATTTTGTACTGCCATACTGTGTGTTACTTCGGTAGGAATTGGTTATATGCTTGCTTGCTTTTTCAGTTGTCATTGGTGGTAAATGGCTGGGAAGTTTGCTATGAATGGGAGTGAAAATCTGGATAGGTATTATAATCACCTAATACTGAGGAGAGTGGGATAGTGAGCTGCTGTGTAGGAATCGTCGCTCTGATTCTTTTTGACAGACTTTTACACTTGTAATTACCATTGCAAAAATAGTCATATATTTATATTCCATTATCAAGGCCATGTCCTGTCAAAGTTCATTCACGAAAGCTTGGGAATTGGGTTGATTTCTGCTGTATTTGAAACTCAGCTTGTTACCTAAGTAAGACAGTGTAACTTGCCTTTGATATCTCACCTGGAGGTCCATTCTGCCTTTTCTCCTTACTGTAGAAGAAATATTTAAATTCTTCCTAAACCCTTAGTTCAACCCCACGGCATGAACCCAGACTGCTAATAAGACTGAGTAGGTTTAGTAACTGTGAGAAAGATTGAACTCTGTGTCATGCCACGTTCCCTCTCAAATTAGCATGTGGCATTGCCAGCTGAGACAGTATGTTGTTTTGGTGTAGATCCATCAGTGCCCACATGCTCTATATATAAAGCTTTGCACATCCTGTAGGGAAGAATGCATGAATGCCTTGATCTGCAGAAAGTCTGTGCTTGTCCTTAGCTCATCAACCATTTTATGGTGCATGATTTTGGTGATAAAGATAACCTTTGATTTCTGTACATAAAGGTGAGAATAGACCTAGAAGTTTGCTGGATTTGGCCACAATTTGAATCAAGATCAAAACAAAAATTTGATGAGGGAAAGGATTGAATATGCAAAAGACAGGAGCAAATGCCATGAGTGTATCAACAGAATGAGTAGCAAGCACCATATCTGCACTTGATTATTATTTGTCAGCATGGCTATTAGCTGGAGATGGATCTGCAGGTTTCTTTGGAGAGGTCTGAAAAAAGGCAGACTAGTCTCAGTAGACTGCAGGGCTGTGATCTACCTTGGAAAAATTGCAGAAAGTCACAAAAGGAAGGCTTTCAAATCATTAAGTTGGAGCTGGTTTGGAATATAACTTTTAGGGAGTCAGTAGATCACCCAGTTTTGTTTGCTTTCTGTTTACTAAGTATTTGCATCCTTTCATCTTATCTCTCTTTCACCTATTCAAACTTTTATCAGCATTTCTAAGTGATGACAGTTTCCATTGTGCACTCTCCAAACACACCACTTTAGTCACCTAGAGCAACCAGTGGCAAGCATTATCTGTGAATTAGATTGCACAAAATCCCTTTACAGGTGTGCTGAGGAAAGGGAGAGACTTAACCTTTAGGTGAGGGCATTCTCTCAGACTTGCTGAAGGCAAATCAGGAATACATGGGAGCAGCCGCATGGGTGGAGATGCTCCTCTCAAAGAGAGGGGGACTTTTTCACAGGTGGCAAAGCTGCTGCTGCTACTCTAGCAGGTATTCATAGGACTTTAATTTCAGGCACTTGTTGAGTTACAGTCTCTGGCTATAAGGTCACATCTATTTCGGCATCATGCAGATGAGGGTGTTAGAGAATGTTTAAAAAAAATCTGAATTTATTGACATCCATATGGACCCATTGACATCCAGTGCTAGAACAGAATCTCTAAATGTATTAGAAACAGCTCTTTTAGGGTATAAATGTTGGATTGCTTAATCCAATGAGTGTCTGACAGCAAATTATGTGCTTTATGAAAAGATATATTTAAAGATGTATTTAAACAACCTAGATGTTTGTAAATGTTGACTCTATCTTGCAGAATGCCATATTTCCCAAGGCTGATGCAGATGGATTATGTTTTTCTTTTGCCCCTGAGATTTAGTTATGATTATTCTTGACTGGTAGGCATCAAATTTGTGTAAAAAAAAAAGAAAAATAAATTGCTTCTAGATAAGACTTGAGAAGTGCTCTGTGCTCCAAAGCTGGTTGATACATTTTGTTCCATAAACAGTTTAATGTAAAAGATGACAATAATTTTTGGGACCCAGACCTGGAGTCCACGATTCTGCACTTCCAGTGAGTGTCGTCTCACAAGGACATGAGTGTAGCACTGAGTCAGTGGTTGTTTAGGCTTCAGAATCGACAGAAGGGCTGGAGGAGGCTTCATCCTGACTCATCTGACACTTTGGGTAGCCTGAGGTGTTTCTGATACCCTTGCAAGCGCTGCAGCGACTTGGGTTGCCTCAGAAAAGGGAACATTCCTGCTGCTTTCTTTTCCTATGTCTTTAAACAAAAGCAGCAGCTTCTTTTTCTTTGGAACCTGATTCTTTGGTTCTCTGCTCATTTTATCAGCAGGTACAAGCAGGGAGTAGTTGCTTTGTGAATCTTGAGTGTTTAAGCATCAGGCAAGTGGTGTGGTCCTGTCAAAGGTGAGACTGCATCTGTGCATGCTGATGCCTACAAAGTTTATCATCACCTCTCCTTTTATTTATTTTTTCTCTCTAATACTTACCTGCAACTAAGTGGGATTTTCAAACACATCTCTATTAGGTTGAAGCATCAGAATTTGGATTTTATACATGCTTAAATGCCTTCAGGCATGACCTTCCAGAATCGTATGGATTTCTTCCAGAGTCATTAGCATGGCAATGATGAGGGCCATATAAATTCCTTGATGAACAGACCTATTTTCTTACCTGTATTTTGCAGGCTTGAGGGGCAGCTAGGATATCTACCACCAGAAAACACAGAAGTCCCCTGTGTTCTTTGCCTTCCCTCCATACTGACTTACAAACTAACAGATTTTAATTAGAATAAATAATCTTTGGAAGTTCTTATCTATCCCTGGGAAATGTATTTGGGGGCTGTTTTTCATGCACATTATCATTTATTTGCTGCTCACTGCTATCCTCCTTCCTTTGGAAAGTTTGCAGTCCCTACATTTACAGACTGTGGGAGCCCTGCTGCTGTGTGTCCGTAAGGTCCTTGAACTCCTGCAAGCGCCTGGAGCTCAACAGGGCCTTTTGCCACTTTGCTGCTGTCTGCCTTTCCCTGCTGCTGTCTCTTGGAATCATTCCTAGCAGCAGGTTTCACTGTAAGCAGAAAGTGCTTAGGCTAAAAATAGCTCCTAAGCCATTGGTATGAATGTTGGTCAGGGTGTAAGGTTATGAAGGGCATATGCACCCCCTCCTTTCTGTGCACTGTCTGGAGCTGGCACTGCGGTGAGGTCAACTGTTGCTGCAGCAGAACCAGCTTTCCCTTGTCCCACAGGCAGGGAACTGCTGAGCTGTCAGCTGGTGAGTCCAAACTGTGCCTTTTACCTCAGGGAGCACAAGTTATAAAAGCACATGTCATGGAAACAAGGACAGCACTGTGGCAATTCCCTGCTCCTTCTGCCTTGCTTCCTACCCTGCCAAAAAATCAGGCCCTCGGCACAGCCCAGAGCAGAGGATGGGCTGCTGTGTTGGCAGGTTGGTTTTAGCACCACCTCCCCCCTCTATTGGGCCATGTGTGTCAGGGTGCAGTCTCCTTTCTCATCCCCATACCCCATAGCAATTCAGGGGCAGTTTCCTGCAAAACCAAAAGCACAGCCTTTCAGTCAGCCTCAGTCTTCTGAAATTTCCTTAAGTAGATAAAGATGTGCTTTCTTGAGGTTGATTTTATGTTGCAGCATTCTCTCTCTAGTCAGCCATTTTCAGTGATACAGTATCACTGGTTAGGAAATTATTGTGGTGGGGTTTTTTTTTTCATTTTTGGTTGAGTTTTTGGAGATTTTGGGGGGTTTTTTTGTTTTCTTTTGTTTTGGAGGGGAATGGCTCTACACTGATGAGTAATGTTATGCTGGTGTTCTCTGCCAATATAGCTCACTGCATTTTGATCAACAATCAAAAATACTTTATTATGGAGTATATGTATATTCCAAAAATAGAGGTGTGCATTTATGCTTGCTTTGTACCTACAGCTGCACTCATAACAGCTTTAGAATATTGACTGAACCTTGATAGTTTCATATCAAGGTTGCCTGTAATGCATAATCATGAGATTTGAATAAAGCAATGTATTTGAGTGTTTTCTTTAGGTGATAAACACTGTCTGAAAAGTATGCTGGAATGTTTCTTGTGCTTGCATAATTTTGTCATTATTGCACAAGTTGCTTAAAGGTATAATGAAAGTACAAGCAACAGGGGTGGTTGAGGGTGGTTTACACTGTCAATCTGGCTCAGAAATAGTCCATGTTTTACTTCTGGGCCTCAGCCATCCACTTAAGCTAGTATTGCTCCCTGAATAAGTCAGTTACTTCTCTCCAAAAAGCAATGCAGGCTCAGTTGACTGTATGTAACGCAGGCACAGTTGAGCATTTTTTCTGGATGGTGGGGGTAGGGCCCATGGCAAGGTTGGCTAGGGTGGTGAGCAGAGCAAGCCAGCTCTCTCCCACCTGGCTTGATGCCCTTGAATGCCCTCCACATTGTGCCCTTGGGCACAACACACGTTTCAGCCTAAAGCGTTAAAAAATTGCTCTTTCTTAATTTCAAACACTTTGAACACAGAAGAACAGGAAAAGCTGCTTTGCAGCCACATGGTGACCCAGGCTACTTGCTGCAAAGTTGTCTAGCCCAGACTCAAGGTGGTTTCAAACAGTGTGAAGGTGAGCC